CAATTAAGCTCTGACCACAACAGCGTTACTGGATTCCTATTATACACCATGTTCTGTGGTCTGGCAGTTGTCCAGGTCTTGAAGGAGCAGACACAAGTCTGGAAACAGAGTTAAGTTGGGCCTAGTTCTAATCCAAACCCATTTTACATCCTTCAAGGGAAATGCCGTTTTCAGCCATGTTCTCCTTTTGAGGAAAGAAGGAACGTGAAGTTGGTTGGGTGTAGTCCAGAGGCCTGACTTTGTGAGGTTCTGAGAGGGAGCAGTGCAGTAAGTGAGTTCAAGGAGAAGGTCTGGAGCCCGTCTTCCTTCCCTGTACCCCTTCTCATTCTCCGGCGCCCTCCCACGCCCTCCACACTCCATCACTGCAGCCCCGGAGACCTCCTGACCCTTCCTTTGACATTCTTAGTGTCTGGAGCATCATTCAGCTCTATTCAGTGGGCAAGCGGCAGTTAGGACAGGGAGTGGGACCCACTGGGCCCTGTGTCTTCCTAGAACACCATCTGGGATTTAAATAGTAAAAGCTCAAGGATATGCTATAGTATTTATCTCCATCACACAAACGCCCATAAGGACACTTACTGGGTGGAGACGAGGCCCTGAGCCACCGGCTTCCTTCATAGGCTATGCATCTAAGCACAGACACGCAGCTCCAGAGCAGAGCACTGAGCACTTCCGTGTCCTTCTTCCGTGTTAGTAGAAACCCCACCATTCTGCCCTTCCTGTCCCTAGACCCATCTACTGTATTCCCTGGGAGGTTACAGTCCTATGTGCCTGACATGACTGCCCACACATTTGGAAAAATCCACCAAAGATGGCATTGCCCCCTTCCAAGGTCTGTGTCTTGCTGAAGGACATAAGAGGAAGCAAACTTTGACCTAAGCAAAGAAAGAGGGGCAAAGATTCTTTGGACAGAAAGAGGTGTGTAAATTTGTAAATACTGGTCAATTTTGAGCCAAAGCCTGCAAGTTTACTTTACAAATAGAGTGTGGTCGATGTAAAGCCAGACATAGAAATAGCCCCATCATAGATCACAAGCAATCACACACCTTCCGCGGCAGGGGAGGTGCAGAATTGGAAGCCGTCACTGGGCGTGTGGGGTAAGACCATTGTGTATTGTTCCCGTCTCCATATGGCAGTTCTCAATCTTCTTACCTGTCTGACCCTAATCCTTAGTGCAGCACATGACACATTAATGGTTGCTGAGTTGAATAGCAAGTTCTTTGCAATGGCGCAGCACTAGGGAAGAGAAGACACTAAATACATACTTATTAATCAATTAGCGTCTGAGACTAACAGGGCAACTCGAGCGAACTAATTCCCCAGACAAGATAGAGTCTCTGGGATCATTAACCCGTCAGGCTTCTGCAGCCTTTCCTGAAGGTGGCAGAGTTCTCCTAGAACGGCCTAGAAGAGGAGGGTGAAAAGAATTGAAACAGGTTTTATCCTTCCCTCGGTGATGCAACCTACACGCCTACCCCCAACTCCAAGTTGGGCTGCTTCTCAGCCAGCTCCTGTGGGAGAAACCTTTTGACTCAGATTTACAAAAAGAAAGATTATTCCACTCGAACCCATCCCAGGACCCAATGGGGCCAGGCATTGAGACTTGGATGAGATGTCGTGATAGAAAGTCTTAACCTACTAATGTTGCCAAATCCCCGGATAGCCTTCTGCAATCACTGCGTCTGGCTGAAATTTCTCTTTGAGCTGATATAGTGGAGTTGGGACAGGCACGCAGTGCCCCCCCCCCCCCCCCCCCCCCCCCGGGCAGAATGGCTTAGATAGCAGCATGAAAGCTATTAGTTGCAAAGCCTTCTCATAACCAGGCTCCCCTCAACAATACCCCTTTGTCCCTCCTCAGACGACTAAGCTCCTTGTATCCTGGCAAAGGGAGGCATGCAGGGGAGGTGTCCAGCCTGGAGTTTGGTTTCTAATCTCTAGGGCAGAAATTCTTTCAAATTTGCCCAGCACTTGGGCTGACTGCTGAGTTGGAAATGAGAGCAGCTGGGGAGTGGGGGTGGCTCTCCCCATGATTCCCAAGTTTCATAATCAATTCTATCCCCCCCCCCCACAAAAAAAATTTACAACCTTCACAGTCAAACCCACACTTAGAAGTAAGGAGTAGTGTCGTTTCTAGGTATGTTCATATTTTCACTTTAATTTCTTTTGGCATTGGCCTCCCCCACCCTCACTGCATTAATTTTCAGGGCTGTCTTAGTGCACACACATTAGTGTCTTAATGCTTTATGGATGAATTCACATGATCACAGAATGGCGAGGTCTTCATTTTCAGGCTCAAGGTGTTCATGAATACTGCATAGTCCTGTCCACTGTATTTTCTTTTGATGACTACAAAAAGAGGGAGGACATGACTTTAAATATCCCCAAGGCAGGAACACACATTCTCTGAGAGCTCTGTGCAAGTACATACCCCTTTCCCACACGGACAGATGGACAGCAAACCTTCCTGATAAAGCTTTAGTCAACTTGACCATTTCTCCCAGGTCTAGTTCCTCTTTCCTCCCTCCACTAGTGCCCCTTCAAACCCCCAGAGGCAATTTATGAACATTCAAGGACATCCTTAACAACCTTTTGCACTTGCTTCCCTTCTCACAGTTCACTCATTCCTGGCCTGCCCGTCTCCAGTGCCAGACCAACCCCAGAACAAGCAGTGATTTTATTCAGCCATCCATGCTTGCCTGTCCCGGGACTTTTCAGAGCTTCCTGGTGGCTGCATGGCTCAACTAAGGCAAATTTGACTCTTTCACACTTGAGCAGAAGTGATAAAAAGATTGAAGTTGTTCTGGCAGAAGAGCCCTGAGGAGACTTTCAAATACTTCCTGTTATCTGGGCTCCCAAAGCTGTCCAGGTCCTAGCTTTTTCAAGTGTATTTTGCCAGCATTCTCTTGAGATCCATGAGCCACTTGATCATATCCTTCCAATAAATTCCTTTCAGACTTAAGATAGCTAAAGCTGGCTTCTGTTGCTTGCAATCAAAGAATTCTAAATGATACTAGTTCACACTCCTTAGCCTCTTTCCTTCCTATTTCAAGAAGGGGCTATTACCAAGTGTCCACCAGTAGATGAGTGGATACATAAAACAACAACTATGGTACATTTATACAGTGAAATACTGCTCAGCCATAAATAAGAAGGAAATATTACCCTCTGTTACAGCATGGGCGGACCTGGAGAGCATTATACTAAGTGAAATAAGCCAGTCAGAGAAAGACAAGTACCATATGATTTCACTCCTATGTGAAATCTAATGAACAAAATGAACTAACAAGCAACACAGAGACAGATTCCTAGGAAGAGAGCAGGCTGACAGCTGTCAGGGTGGAGTACCGGGCTGGATGAAGTGGTGGTGGAGGGGTTGAGCGAGAAAGAAAAAAAAAAGAGAAAAAACTCATGGACACGGACAACAGTGGTGATTGCTGGGGGAGGGGGGCTAGCGGGGAGTGGAGGAAAGTATGGAGGGGATGAATGGTGATGGAAGGAGACTTGACTTGGAGTGGTGAACACACAATGATGTGTTGTGGAACTGTGCACCTGAAACCTGCTTTGTGAACCAGTGTCACCCCAATAAATTCAATAAAAATGACAAAAGGGCACTCTTACAAAGATACTCCTCCATTTTCCCACTCCCGCAAATTACCTTGACTTCCACTCTTAATACCAAGACCATGTCCCTAGTTTTTGAAAGAGAACTTTTCTGTCCTTTTAAAAGGCAAACCATCCATAAAGGAGTTACTCTTGACCGCCATTAGTAAATTTCTTGATGACTTTCAGGGGAAACAGAAAGATTTCTGTATGCTTGTCAGAGAGCATGGTTTCCCTCGGGGACCCCCCCCCCCTTCTCTCTCACCAGCTCATCCTCCTGTAAAGCTGGTGCAAATGATTTCACACTCAAGACTGATTGTGACTCCAGTGCCTCCCTGCTCCTACCTCCCTTCTCTCTTTTCTAGCATCTGGGACAGACTATACATAGTCTCTCTTGGCCCCCTATTTCCATGCTCCCTACCAGGTTCTTCCCCATTTGGCTGCAGGCCAGTCCCTCCACGGAAATCACCCTCACGATCCACATCTCTCCTGGCTTACGGTCAGAGGGCAACCCCACAGGGAACCAATCCTCACTCACAAGAATACAGAAAGTCATCAAGAAAATTACCTATAGAAGAGCAACCCCTTCGCAAATGGTTTACTTTATAGAAGGGTAGGAACGTTCTTGTCTTTCAGAAAATATGGCTGAGATTCTAACACATTGAGGGCACTTTGGAGACGATGAGGACATTTGAAAGACCCTTTTCCCTGCTTGGTGAAGGGAACTATCATCAACTGCCTCCTGTGGCAGGGACTTTTAAGCATGTCCATGTGCCTGGCACCATGCTAACTACCTAACATGCATCATTGCATTTATGCTTGCAACGGTCCTGGGCTTGGTTATTATTGCTATTTCCATTTTTCAGATTAGGACATAGGCTCAGAAAGGTTAAACAGACTGCCTTAAGCTATCTGCCTAGGATGTGGAGGCTGAATCAAATCCAGGTTGCTTTGACAAGACAAGAAGGCAAAGGAAGGGCTGGCATCTTTTGGGGCTTAGTTTGTCCCAGGGCCCTCCAACTTGAGTCTGTATTTGAACCACTATCCACCATTACTGTGTCTACCTGCACCCAGAGTCACCCTCCTCGCCCATTCACACAACACTGACTGAATGCATGTCTCAGCCTTCACTGGGTGAAAAGCCAGGGGACCACTCTGCATTTTTAGGTCTGATTCTGTAGCAGACTGCTCTGCCTTGCTCTTACTTGAAATTTTCTAGAAAGGTCTGTGGATGGGGTGCCAGAAGACTTGAGTTTGAACTGCATTTTGCCTTTACTAGTATTACCTTGACCAAAACATACAATCTATCTTGATTTCCTCATGTATAAAATGGGGGTAAAATAGCTACCTTACCCAAAGAGAGAAGATATGTCAATTGTAAGGCATTACATACATTTTTGTTAGGAAGAAATGATTCCCAATTTAGGAATGAAGAAAGATCATGGCGTTACATCCAGGGGAGAGCTGGACAAGGTAGAGGCTGGCTGATGCCAAGTCTTCTGCCTCAGCTCCTAACTCTTCCTTCGTTTTGATTCTGTAACTGGCACCTTGGCTAATGCATGCTATGGCTTCTATCCTAAGGATGAAAATACGAATATTATATATGGAAATATTTTCCTAGACTTCAAAGTTTAATTTTTATCTCGGATTTTAAAAGAAAGTCAAGCATTTTATGGGTCCTCCAATATGATAGTTACTAGGCATTGCACCTCCTGTGCCTCGTGGATAAGTCACCCTGCATTCAGATCTTTTGCCTTTCCAGCCCATTAGGCTTTCCTCTATGCAATGCTGCCTCCCAGAGTCTGGGAGGGAGCCACGCCAGCTGCCAGTCACAGACTGAGAGAACCAGAGCCGGAGAACTGGGCCTCCAAGGCCAGGGGCCGCAGGGAGGTCCCTCTTCAGCAGGCGGGCTTTGCTGCCAGATTAACTAAAGCCACTTCTTGCCAAGGTTTTCCCGAGAGAGAGGGCAGTCTCCTGCCTCGTTGACAGTGTTCTAGGGACAGCTCACCTGCCTCCCTGTAGCCTGACCCTTTCTCCTTCTCCCTGCAGAGTAATCCGAGCAGAAAACACATTTCTGTTACCAAAGGCCAGTGCTGAGAACCTCGTATGCATTATGTTATTGAGTCGTGAAAATATACTTATGAAACAGGCAATACTGTCTCCATTTTACAGAGGAGGAACTAACTCAGGGAAGCCAAGAGCTCTTGACACTGACACCACATGGCTGCTATGTACTTCCTACATCGGTTTGAGAAACTCCACGTAATTCCTTCTGCCCCCATTGAAAGAATGACTAAGCCGGCTCTAGAACAGGGCATGTATGGGATGGGCTTAGAACTCCTTGTCCGCATCGCTCATCTCTAGTTTGGGGTGCACTTTTGAATATCCCGACCAGGGACAGGAGGTTGGTGGAAGACCCAGGGCCCCATCAGGCAATTAGAGGAAGACATAGGATTGGATTAGGTTCAGACAGTAGGAAAGCAGCCCAGCTTCTCACCCAGAGTGGGGTAAGACCAGCTGGATGAACCTCAAGTTCCTTTTCTTAGAAGACTCCATGCTGCCTTAGACCTCTGAGAACTCTTTGTCACTGTGGCACGCAATAAAAAGGGGAGACAGCTAGGAGAGAAGTGGCAGTCAGACCTCTCAGAGCAGGCCCTTGGCACACATAGGGTTTGTGTGAGAATTGGAAAAGGGCACCCCTCCGCATGGCTTATTTACAAAAGGACACCCACAAAGCCTTATACGTTTAAAAAAATGTCCCTTTCTCTTGGCTGCAGCACCCAGTACCAGGACTCAGGCTTGGCGTGGGGACATGGGTTGGGTTGCATTCCCACTCCCTGCTCAGCTTTTTTGCAGGACCTGACCTAGGACCTCACCTAGGACCCATCAGAGGGGCCTGTCTCAAGCCAGGGCCCTCTGTCAGGATTCCCCACCGTCCACATTCCAGAATCTCCAGGCTTTCCAGCTGACATCCAGGATTTTCTACCTTCCAACAGAAGAATCTAGATTGACCTCAGAAATATCTTGTTTAATCTTTGCTGTAAATCACACTGTGGACGTTGGAAGTTCAGAATGTGCCTTAGGTGAATTCCTTAACTTCCACAGACCTCAGTTTTTCCACCTTGAAAATGGGGCTGTTTCCATGGATGAACTGCACAGAACGCAATGTTGGCACCCAGTGGGTCATGGCCTTCGGGTAGGAGGGCCTGCAGGATACCTACCGGGGATTTTGTGCTTGCAGTCCCCACAACTCCTGTGAGCTGGGAGGCAGTCCTCTCCTCCGGGTTCCTGCAACACCTCAAATACGTGTGGCAGGGGGCCTGCAGGGCCAAGGAGCTCTGCGCT